CCCCCAGATCCGAGTAATTCAGGAGACCATTGCTGCAGCGTCTGCGATCTGCAGCTTCCCTCCAAATTCAAGCTCCAGGACCACATGAACCTGCACACAGGAGCGCGGCCGTACTGCTGCGCCGAGTGCGGGAAGCGCTTCTGTCAGATACACAACTACCGAGTCCACCTGCGCAAGCACGCCAGGGCCAAAGTGGAGCGGCTGTGGTGCCGCATCTGTCTGACGGGCTTCAGCTCGCAGGAGCAGCTGAAGAAGCACCTGTCCAAGTCTCACCTGGAGGACCAGTTTTACGAGTGCGACCTGTGCAAACGCGTGTTCACCACCCTGCAGGACTGTCAGCAGCACGTGCAGTTCCACAAGTGCGTGGTGAACATCGCGTGCGAAGTGTGCGGCCGCAGCTTCCGCACCCCGAAGTCCCTGGCTCGCCACAGGAAGAGCAAGTGCACCCGCAGATTCAAGTGCACGGACTGCTCCGAGACGTTCGCCAAGAAGAACGCGCTCCTKAAGCACAGCTTCTCGCACCTGGGCCTGCTGCCGTACACCTGCATCCGCTGCCGCTGCCACTACCGGCTGGCCAAGCTGTACCGCAGGCACAAGTGCGAGCCGCAGCGCCTCCACTGCGTGGCGTGTCTGAGGGAGTTCCTCAGCCAGCAGGACTTCCAGCAGCACAAAAAGGACACGGGCTGCTGGGGCAACCAGGAGCCCAACCAGAAGACCAACGAGATCCGGTGTCTGGAGTGCGGCCAGAGGTTCGACACGTCGGAGGAGCTGAAGAAGCACGCCGGCGCTCACCAGAGGGTGCTGAAGTGTGCCGAGTGTGGGAAGGGGTTCCGCTCGACGCTGCTGTTGATGTCCCACATGGGGGGTCACGCCGGCAAGTCGCCCTGCTTCTGTCAGAGCTGTGGGCTGGGTTTCCCCTACCAGCAGAACTACGACAGCCACCTGAAAACCTGCAGGCAGACTCCTCCTGTGGTGAGCCAGTGTTTTTTTTAAATCTTTGTAACTTTAAGTTCATTACAGTCCACTGCAGTTTGATTCTCTGTTTTAATAACCAGCATCTGTTCAGACCTTGGAACATGAGAAACATTGGGCCTCATGCAAGAACGTGTTCGTATTCTTATCCTAAATTTCTCTTTTGTTCGTATGAAGGTTTCGTACGAACATGTCACGTCAGATTCAACAAACCCTTCTATCTTCAGGAAAAGTGTGTAAATGAGCTGCGTAAACTGATGAATGCGTATCAGGTGCTTGCGCACGAGGAGAGGAGATTAGCATAATTACCACCCTTAAAACACCATATAAGGTAACGTTTCCTGCCCCACTTACCAGGAAGTGTACATTCATAAATGACATCGCAAAGTAAAAAGAAGAACTTTACGAGTTCGGAGATTGACGTCCTGCTGTCAGAGACCCAGAAAAGAAAATTTTATCATCAATCATCATCAATTATTTTCATTTTCAGCAGCGTCAGCTGTGGAATTAAAGGTTCGCTAAAGCCGAGGAATGAAATGTGCTGTCAATGTCGTGTCTCCTGTGGGTCGTATACAGACACAGAAATAAAAATCTAAATCATATTTATCTCTCTCTAGTCCTGCTCCAGTTTTCCTTTGGTCAAATATTTTTAAGTGAAGTGTAAACAACAGTGTTACGTAGTTTTCATTTATTCAAGTTTCAGGTCAAAGCGTTCTATTTTAAAATTATATTACATTATTACATTTAAAATTCTAATTCAAACAGAATAGCCTATTGTCAACATAATTATGTAGTGTGTTTTATTTTCAATTCTAAATATCTTCAAACTAATGAAATATACACTCACCGGCCACTTTATTAGGTACACCACGCTAGTAACGGGTTGGACCCCCTTTTGCCTTCAGAACTG